GATGGGGGTGGTGGGGCGCAGGGACCGCGGCACCTCGGGGTGCGGGGAGAGACCTCTGTGCTCAGCGGTCCTCTTGCCACCCTGGTCCCCCCCCAGACAGGTAAAGGTGCTGCAGGAGGGCAAAACGCAGGAAGGGGACGGACACTGGGACTTGTTAGGGGTGAACTCGTTTAATGGTTGGACTCGACAATATTAAAGGTCTTTTCCAGCCTAAACAGTTCTATGATTCTAACTCTCCCTTGGTGGGGATGGAGATGACGACCTGGCTGTACCCCCTCCTTACTGACGGGGTTAGCGGAGGGTTCCTGCGTGTCAAAGCCAGTTTGCGGGGGTGGCTTTGCTCTCTCACCGTGTGGGAACGGCACCAGCTGGAGCGTTCCCCCATCCTTTGCCCCGAGCCTGTCTTGGGAAGGGGACTACCTACCTTGGCGTAGGTGCAGGTGTCAGAGAGGAGCCAGAAGGGGCACTTCTGGTCACAGAGCGGGCACATGATGGTGTCGCTGGCTTCACAGATCTCCTTGCTGGAGAGGAAGGCGTGGAGGGAAGCGGAGGGGAATAACGGCGGCTCGAAGCCACACGCACCGCAAAGGCTCGTGAAGGGACCGCGCATCGGGCGTTCCCAAGTGCCTTACCTCACCTGGCTGGAATTGAAAACCGTGATCCCAGCCACGAAGACCACCAGTCCAACCACCGCAGCGATTCCCAACAGGTAGGTGTACCAGCCCAGCCAGGCGAAGTACAGGGCCACCTTCTCACCAAAATAGCACCTGGAAGGAAAGGTGAGGTGTGGTTTGCGGCCGGTGGAAGAGACCGCATTGGTAGGGGTCACTAAACGCTCCTCCCCCCCCAAAGGGCTGTCAGTGCCCTCTGCGGGGGTTTTGTTGGGGTTGGGAGAGTCAACCCGGCTGAGCGGAGGCGCTGGAGGAACCACAAGCATGCAGTGTCTCCCAGGGTTTTCACGGAGCCCAAGCTTCACAGCTTTCTTCCCCGTCTAAAATCAGAGCAGTGCTCTTCCCCGAGTTTCCCCGGGGCTGCAGGAGCCCCTCGTTGCCTGCAGTGCCCCGGGTTCAGCCTCAGGTTGGATGCGCTGCGCTGATGCTCCGTTCCCACCTCACCTTCCCGCTGGAGGTGGGAGCGTGCGGTAGAAAACGAGATGGGCTAATTAAAACCCGCGCAGCTGCGGGGGTTGTTTCACACTGCAAAACTAGCAGCTGGAGCTGGGTGCCGCAGGGTTGCCCCTCAGGCGAGGAACTTTGCAGGCTCCAGAAGCCGCCCAACGCTCGCTGGAAGAGCCGGGTTCAAGGGAATGGTTTAAAAGCGAACGCGGGAGCCTGGCAAAGGGCATACAGCTCTCTGGGTGTCAGGTGGGATGTCTTGGTTAGAAGGATCTGCCGCGTTACCTGATCTTCTCAATTGGCTGTTGGCAAAATATATCTCTCCAGCGAGCCCATCTCTCCTTCAGGAATTCCCTCACCTCTTCTTTCTGCGGAGCAGAGAAGTGGGTCGGATGCAGGAATATCAGGGCAGCCTTCATCCCCAGCCCAGCTCCCAGGCTGCCGCCGGCAGCTCTGTCGTGCTCCTCATCCGGAGAGGCGCTGGTGCAGCCCCAGTTACCCAAAGGTCTCCTCCACCTCTCGTGGCCTCTCCTCCCGGGCACCCGCCTGCTCGCCCTCACCTCGTGCAGGGGAAACGCTGCCTCGAAGACCTTCTTCTTCATCAGGTGGTGCAGCTTCTCTGGTAGCGGAGCAGAACGGAGAGGGTTAGCGAAGCTTTGCTCTCTCCCCACGTGCTCCCTGCCAGGCAGGATCTTCCCAAACCTTTCCTGGAGCCTTTGAGGGGGCAAAAAAAAAGGAGCGAGCCAGGCAGGGAGCTCCTGGGAGACAGCGAGAAACCAAAGCCATCGGCGCTGCCCTGCGCGCCCCGGGGTGTCGGAGCGGGACGAGCTCTGGGGACACGGGGCAGCGGCGGTGGGCACCCGAGGTCCGGGCTTTGGGCGGAGGGAGCAGAGGGCTGGTGGTTCCCGCAGTGCCAGTCTCCCAGCCCCTGGATGCAGTGGCAAATTCGCTCGTCTGAGCTGTGCCCTGGCGTTCTCCCCGCTTCGGCGCCCTCCCCGGGGGTGTGGGGGATGCCCGTGCCCACCACGGGGCAGGAGCCATGCTGCAGGTGCAGGCTGAGCATCGCCCCTGCTGGCCCTGTCCCCTTACCGAGGTCGGACGTTACTGTGTTCTGCAGGATGAAGTTCACGATCCGTATCCTGAGCAAAGAGAAACGGTGGTTAAAGGCTGCTCTGAGGACACAGACTCGTGTTGTGTGCAGCCCTGGAAAACAAGGGAGGGCAGGGAGAAGGTGTGCGCCAAAATCCAGGGGTGGAAGGGGGCAAGAAATGGGGAGGTGGCTGCGGAGAGTGAGAAACGGGCGACTTCGCACATGGTAGGTGGTGGTGGCCTTCTGTGGAAAATGAAAAGCCCGGCACAACTGCGAGCTGAGCTGGAAAACGGGTGCTGGTGCGGGGCCAGGGGAGTGCAAGGTGCTGGGAGTCAGTAGCACCCACCTGGTGGTCACTGGTGTCTCATGATGGGCATCGGGGTTGTGCAGCCGGCTGTCGGGGTTCCTCAGCAGCCACTCATATTTCCGGAAGATCTGTTTTGGGGCACGGACCCCATAAAATAGTTTCTTGTCCTCAATTTTCTAGGGGGTGGAAGAGGAGGGCTGTGAGAAGAACGCTGGCAGAGCTCTGGGGACCGGGAGGGTGCTGGGGCTGGGGTCTCCCCTGGTTGAGCGTGCAGTGTATTTATCAGCACTGATGTGGCTCAATGGTTTGGACTTCTCCCGTCTCTTGGGCTGCAGGAGCCCAAACCAGGCTCGGATGCTGGCTACCGCAAGATATCCGCTGCCTCTCCCTCCTGCAGCCCCTCACCTTGATGCTGAACCCCTTCTTGCTCAGCTCGTCCAGGAACTTCTTCCTCTTGGCCTCCTTCTCGCTGCCCACTTGGTGGATGTCGCTCACCAGGACAAAATCCCACTTCTCTTCATCCTGCCCACAGAAAACGCCGGGGAACTCATGGGGGCGGCGCTCTCCCTCAGCTCCAGCCTCTCAGAGCTCTGGACCTTCACCGTGGCTCTGTGAAGGGCTCCCGGGAACTGGGAGCGAGCAGCACGGAGGGGATGGGGAACCTGAGCCAGCCGCTGCCTTGACACTGCCCCGCTCCCCTCTTTGAGCTGCGCTGAAGGCTCTGTGCGTGCAGAGGGAGCAACGCTTACCGGGGGGGCAAATGGGTCCGCGTCTTCCACGGGAAAATCCCTCCAGGGCGTCAGGAGGATTTCATCCTGCAGGAGAGACCACAAGTGAAGGCTTCGGTGGGAACCCGGGGAGGTGCTGCCTCTGGGCACGGAGCAAACCTCTCCCTGCAAATACTTGGATGGCACCGCGATGCCCCGGGTTGGAGCCCGCCGGCGGCGTCGGGACCGCGCTGCCCCGCGCCGGGAGGTGAGTGCGTGCGGGCAGAGCTGTGCTGGCGGTGCGGTACGCAGAAACCTGTCCGTTGGCAAAGCCCGCCCGGCGTTTGGGGGTTCTGGGGTGCGTCGGCGGCGGTACTTGCAGTACATCAAAAAACACAGAGCCAGAGGAGAGAAAACTGCATCACAACAGGAGATCAAGACGCAGGTGCCCACTTTTCCTCCCGGCAGGCAGGAGGGGATGCCCGGGGAGGAGGGTACGAGCCGGCTCCTCTCCCGTGCTCTCCGCTTTGGGGTCTTCCTGAGCCAAAAAGGGCTTCGTGTTCGGGGATCCTGGAGGGGCTGCGGCTCCGTGGATGTGCGCAGCCGCCTCTTGAGCTCGTAACGCCCAACGCTGACGGCAGCCTGGGGTCGCGAGGGAGCCGGGAAAAAGCCCAAACCCTCCCTCTGCTCCGGACTTTGCTCCTCCTTGTTTCACCTGCCGCACTGACATTTGTACTGGAAGAGAGTGTCAACACTCAACTCTCTCTCTGTGCTACGGTGGTTTTTACAATCTTTAGTCAACCTTTTCCCCTCTTCGGTTATTCTGCTCAGACAGGGCACTCTTAGCGGTGTGGGGAGGGTGAGGAGGGCGGTTTTAAACTGGCGAAGGGAGAGCGGGGCGCAGACCGTGGGAGGCTTGCACAACCCCGTGGGCTGCGGCAAAGCAGGTAAACCGCCAGTCCTCGGAAACCCGCTGGGATGCCTCGGTCTGTGGCCAAGGGACAGAGAGGACAAGGTGAGCTGCTGATGTTTGCCTTCTGCCCGGCTCCCTCCCGTGTGCCGCCGGCTCCGACGGGAGAGGCTGCGCAGGGGCCAAGGCAGCGGCTCACCTTTGCTATTTAAGCCTAATTATGCTCAGACCCCCGAGCGCTGTGGCTCTGGGGGGTGTGTGAAGGAAATAAGGCGGCCCCGCGGCAGCAGCCGCCCTCTGCCCGGCGCGATTTCCCAGCCCTGAAGGATGCCGCAGCCGGCACCCTAGGGTGGCCCAGACCTGGTGGGCGCCCAGAACTGGAGCTCATCTGCTTCAAACCACTTTGTCCCTGTCCCCTACGCCTGACATCCCTGCTGCGGTCTCAGCCCGCTGTTGCAGCCATAGTTCTCTCTTGGGTAAGAGGGGATTACTCCAACCAGTCTTTCAGTGGGTTGGCAAGAAGGCGCCAGCTTCAAATCCCGGTGAATGCAGTGTCATACAGCCAGCTGTGCTGTGACAGGGGCAGGGAATGGATCCCGTCTTAAAAACAGCATTTTGGGGGGTTTCTGCAGTTCTGTGCTGTGACTCATGGCTGCGGCCCCACAAACAGTTATGCCACCTGTCCCGAGGGCACGGGGAGGCAGCACAGAAGCGGGGAGGAGCTGCCGGGGATGGGGAGACCGTCGGTCGGTATTGCCACCAGAGATGTGTCCTGAAAGAGTGGCCAGCCAGACCAGTTCATCCAGCTGTAATCTCGGGAGCAGAGCGGTGGTGGTGGTGCAACCGTGCCCTGATGTAAGATCTGGTCCTGAGCTTTCCCTGAAGAATGAGGCCGTGGGAGCAGGAGAGACTGGGATGAGGAAAGGGCTGAAACGCTCTGCCAAATCCTCTCTCGCACGGAACTAGGGCTCCGGCTTCGCCCAAAGCAAGAGAGCCGCGAGAAGACTGACCGACAGAAAGCCCAAGTGAGAATGCTTGAGAAGAGGGACAGTCTCCCCCAGAGGTGCTGTTGCAATAAGAACCAGAACTTCTGACTGCTAAAAGGTACCCCAGTTTAGGTCAAGACACAGAAGAGGGGTTATGGTGCTGTGATCTGCTCCGCCAAAGCTCTAAGCAGGCTTTGGGGTGGGAAAAACGGGTTTTGTCTCACGTTGCTCTCCCCGTATGGGTAAGCACCGAGCTGGGGGGGCAGCTCTCCCTGCCCCTGGCCGAGAGCCCCTGTCGGGGCACAGGGGAGGGAGTAGGAGTCCCGTCGGGGCTCTGCCCCATCTCCTGATGCTCTGCTGCTGGCACAGATCTGGTCTGGCACCACCTCTCCGCAGGTCATGTCGGCTCGGTCCCGCCTGGCCGCTTTCCCTCAGCCTCATCCCGCAGAGATTGCCCGCTGCCCCCGCCGGCCTCGCCGCTGGACCCGCGACCCCTGCGGCGCCGAGGAGGGCGCCCTTTGCGGGAAGGGGCGTTTCGAGGTGTTCCTAGATGCCAGCGGGGTCAGCCCCTCTACACAGCTGTCTGGCTGGTGGTGACCCCAAGAGGGCTCAGGATGAGGTGACAGGACCGGTTAGCATCACAGAATCACGGAATTTTCAGAGTTGGAAGGGACCCCTAGAGCTCACCCAGTCCCACTCCCCTGCTAAAGCAGGATTGCCCAGAGCACATCGCTCAGGACTGCATCCAGGCGGGTTTTGAAAATCTCCAGAGAAGGGACTCCACCCCCTCCCTGGGCAGCCTGTGCCACTGCTCTGTCACCCCAACCGTAAAGAAGTGTTTCCGTGTGTTGGAACGGAACTTCCTCTGTTCCAACTTGTGCCCATTGCCCCTCGTCCTGTCACTGGGAACCACCAAGAAGAGTCCGGCTCCATCCTCCTTCAGCCCACCCTTCAGATACTGGTATGCCATAATAAGGTCTCCCCTCACCCTTCTCTTCTCCAGGCTGAAGAGTCCCAGCGCTCTCAGCCTCTCCTCATACGGGAGATGCTCCAATCCCTCAGTCATCGCAGCGCCCGTTTCCAGGAGGCTCCCAGCCCCGCTGCCTGCAGGCACGGTCCCGCACTGAGGAGTCAAAGCCCTGACCGTTAACCGGGGAGGATGCTGACGGGGTTCCCCAGGTAGGCTCCCAAATGGGACGTACCCAGCCATGGGGCTCGGTGTGTGTAGCCAGGCTGGGGAGAGCAGTGGGGCTGCCGTGCGGAGCTCCAGCAGAGCATCCTTCCTCCGTCGGCATTGCCAGTCGGAATGTTGCTGGTCTGTCAGACCTGACACAGCCGGATCCTGCCCCTGCTTCTCCATGCTCCCAAAATAGCAAGCACTGATTTTAATCCCACCAGGCACTTGTTGCTTTTTAATTTTCCACCTAAACCCTACGAATCAGTGGGGACGCATCCCGGGCCACCCGCGTACGGCGCTCTGGGCAGTAAGGATGTCGTGGTAGCGGGGTCTGGCTTTTCTCTCTGTTCCCATAGCAACGTGATTTACCGCCCGGTACCCACTCTGCGTAGGACTGGAAAATGAGGAGGACTTTGCGAATTACTTGCAGATTAGCACAGGCAATTCCCAGTACCCACCTGCGGAGCGGTAACGGGTACAGATTGTCGCATTCAGCTGCAGAGGGGGATTTGGAACCCTGTGATGAGGGAGGAGCGGCGTTTCGGCAGGTTTAACTCATCGCGGTGGCTGCGGGCATCCTGGTGAGCCAAGGACTACTTTAAGCCTTGGCTGCTGGGACTGCCGCGCGGGAGCCCAGCCTGCTTTGGGGGCCAGACGTGGCTCGTAAGCAGGAGGCAGGGACGTGGCATCGCTAGTGCTCCCACACTGATTTCCCTCAGCCCCGGGGGACCAGCGACACTGTGCGACGATGGCTGTTTTGCTCCGGCAGCACGAGGCATTCCGATCAGCCCCGTGTGCAGGCACGGCTGCAGGGGCTCTGGAGCGGTTGTGTAAACCCTGGACTCTAATCCCTGCTATCACGGAGGACGGTGTGCCTGTTTCGCTTTTTCCTGCCCCGTGTTTGGTAGCAGGGTTGGATGCCCGCTGGGCAAAGGTGTAGGAGAAGTAACCCGCCCGATGGGAATCAGGAATTTCCATGTTAAAAAGGGGTTGTGTGCTGTGGAGTGTGCCTGGTTCCTCTGCAGCTGTGTCAGTGGGTCCTTGTCCCCTTGTGGGAGGGTACCGGATCCTTTAGGGAGACAGTGACAGGCACCCCTGGGCTGGAGGTATAGTCACCTGCGTGAGTAACTCAGGCAAAGGACCTGGGCAGGATCCGGCATCCTTGTTTTCCTTTCTAATCGTGCATTGGTGAGGGTTTGGGTGGTTCCCATCACCCACACTGAGATGATCAAATTGCTCTTATCTCAGGGGATGTTTCTTACAAACGCTTCCCTTCGAGCGCTTCAACCTTGCCCCATCGCTTCCTAAGAAATGTGACAATCTTTAATTGAACAGGCGGTAGTACACCTGCACGTCTGCTATCTGCCCCAATCTTAGTTTGCCTGGCTTTTTGAATAAAAGAAAACTGCGTCTTTTCTTTCAAGCTAGAGAAGCGAAACTTGTCAGCTCCCCCTCTCCCTTTGCTTTATTTCAGGCGCTCCTGAAACCTCCGGGGCTGTCACCTCCACGGCCGGGGGCAGCGCCTTTTCCCTGGGTTCATACGCACCGAAAGATGTGGTCTCACTCTAAACCAACCCATCCTTCTCTGCCCCGTGCTCCGGCACCTCTGCACTCCAGGGCCAACATCTGGAGCCGTGCGTGACCCCCCTCACCCCCCAGCCGGAGCCCGCCGCCCCTCGGGGTGACGCGTGGGCTCTGCCTGGCACCCCGGCTGCGGGACCCGCACCGCCGGCGGCACACGCCGCTTTCCTGGCCGCAGGAGCGAGATTGCCGGCTGGGAGGAGGAACGGGAGGTTTGCGGTACGTTTGGAGGGCTTTGGAGGCTGAAAGCGCGCGAGCGGTAGAGATCAGAGCTGAGAGCATCCCGTGTTTCCCGGGTGCGGGTGGCCCCGGGGTGCTGCAGAGCGACCTCTTGGAAACAGCTGAGCGGTTTCTGTTTCCTACCTGCATGGTGAAGCGGAGAGCCTTTCTCCTTCCCCCTCTCTCCTTGGGCTCCTGCGGGCGGATCTCTGCGGAGGGGTCTGTCGGGCAGAGGGGGAAGCGGCGGCGGGCGGGACAAGCTGGGGGGCTGTGTGGGACTCTCGCCCGCCTTGGGCGGGAGCTGCCTCTGCCTGGCCGTGGGCAGATATCAAGGAGGAGGCGAGAAAGCTGCCCTTCACCCTCGCTCGAAGGAGTGGCGAGCCCAGGACCGCCCAGCAGAGAGGGCAGGTAGCCCGGCCGGGCTCCTCTCGCCAGCCCCAGCGCTCTGCCACCCCCGTCCCCCCCCTCGGTGCCAACGCCGCCTGCTGCATCCCGGGACCGTCCCCAAAGAGGTGTCACAAACAGGGAGCGAAAGGAGGAAGGATGTGACCGTCCCCAAAGAGGTGTCACCAACAGGCAAGAGGAAGAAGGAGGTATCGGCGGACGCGCTAGAAAGCGTTAAACTATTTCTTACAAGGAGGGAAAAACACATTAAACCTAAAAAGAGAAAATAAAGCTGTGCTGTGCATAACCTGCCTCATTCTTGGGGTGAAGCCCGGGCTCCGCAGAAGAGGTGGCTGTGGGAGGTAGAGGATGGGATGGGGCCAGGGGCGAGTTTGTTACCAGCCAGGAGAAGGAAAAGAGGCGAAGCACGAGTTTCCAGGTATGTGAGGGGACTGCTCCACAGTTCTTCCACCTGAATACAGCCCTCTTCCCCCCTGCCTTGGACAGTGGCCTGGTTTGCTCTCCACCGCTTTGGTTTCCCTATGTGGCCTTCAGAAACCCTTCTGTGAACCTCAGAGGAACTCTGGCTCGGAGAAACTCCTGAAGGATTGGACAGAGACCGAGAAGCCCTTTCTTCGCCCCTCGCTGGCTGCCAAAACCGCACTGGAAGCCGCGTGCTTTTGTTCCTCGTGTGTAACAGTGCTGCTGCACGGGGGGCATCAGGGTTTGGCATCAACGGTTACAGGAACCTCTGTAAGTATTTGAAGAGTCCTTAATAAAAACTACCACCTCCCTCCTGGCTGAAGAGGAAAGCATCGAAGTGTGCTCCGAATGTTCCTCCAAACCACAGAGCCCTTCCCCTCCCTGCTCCTAAAACCTTGTCGCTTCTAAGCAGCGGTGATTTCCCAGAGTACGACTGCTTCAGCCTCTGCTCTCCTGATGGTGTTTGCGTGGGGATGCTCAGCCACGGCCCGCTGGAAGTTGGAACCAAATCACTGAGTGCTTTTCTTTTTGTTCACAAAGGCTTGACCCCTCTGGGGCTACGGCTTGGAGCAGGGTACAACTCCCTTTTTACAAAAAGAGTGAGTGAAAAGGGTGTTATGTGTAAGCCAGATCTGACAGCTCTCCTTGTATCTGTTTTCTGGGTTTCTCGGTGGCTTTAGTTTCCGCGGTAAGCAGAGCTGCCTTTCCTGGGTACAGCGGAAGGGCCAGCAACTGGTCTGGGTGCCCCTGTGCTCTCCAACGGCATCGCTGTGCGTCGCCCTCAAATAAAGTCAGTCCCAGGGGATAATCCGTCTGCGTCCTGGCAGGAAAGGCAGCCAGGCAGCATTTCCAGAGTGCTGTTCTCTGGCAAGCCAACGTCATTCTGCGGCTTTGCCAAGTGCCTCGAACAGACTCCAAATCACACCTGCAAATTTAAAAAAAAAAAAAAAAAACAAAAAAAAAAACAAGCACAAAACAACAGAATAAAAGAAAAAGTCACCTTCCAAATTTCCTGCTGTGCGTGAAATCAAGAGCAGAGCAGGGGAAGGGGTGAGCAGACCTTTACCCTCCCAGAGCAACCTGCAGGGCTGGCCAGGAGGGGAAAACCCTCTTTATCACCAGCAGCTCTCCGTGGGTGTGGGAGACCGTGTGTGTGTGTTTACCTGGCGAGGGAGTGAAGCCTCCTAAGATAGGATGGGCGCTGCTCTCCACGTCTCCTGACAGGAGACCGAAGATCTTTGCAAGCAGAGCACCGCTGGGTTAAACGGAAGCGGGGTTGCGTGGAGGTGGGACAGCCACGTCGCTCCACCTGCGCATCTGTTTCTCGCTCCCGCAAACTGCCGAGGAGGACCGGGAGGACTTTGCTCGCCAGATATGCCAGCTAACTGACTGCGGGCACCCAGCCCCAGTCCCGAGACCTCGGGGCTTTACTAGCCCGTGGGGAAGGTGAGTCTGTGCCCACCGATGAGCTTTGGCCAAGGTATCCCACCCCCGCAGCATCTCCTGTGGCACTCAGAGTTCGCTTTTCCTTCTCCTCTTTAGGAGGAATTTGGCTTTGCCTAGGCAAGATTTAGCTCCTTTTGCAGCAAGGCGGGCGGCCAAATTGATGGTGTTCCTCTTTCAGCACTTTCTTTCCCAGGCAAGCCTCCTGCAACGCGCTGCCTCAGCATTTATGGCTCTTGGTGGACGGGCGCTGAGGTTGGCAGCACGAAAAACTAAAATCTGAGAGGGAGATGATGTACCTTCCAGTTTATAGGCGAAAAATCTGCTTAAGACAGGGAGTGTTGTGGAGCTCTGACTCATATGTGCGCTGAGGTATTGCAGCCACACAAACCCTTTATAAGCAGCCAGAATTATTCAAGGTATTATCACCCTCCGCTGTCTGTTGCTGCTGGAGCCGCTCACGTGTCCCCATCCTAATCCACCGTGGCATCCCAATGGCCAACTAAAGTCCAAACTGCACTTTCCAACTGCGGTTTACGGCTTCTGCAGCAAAATCAGCTCTGGCTGTATGTTTTTGGCCTCTTGTGCTCTACTTCTGACTGCACCAAGCCGGAGAGCGTCTCTGAAACGCCGGGTCCCGTGGTGCCAAAGGCCATTTTGCTGTAGAGTTGAGCGGCAGTACGATTGCCTGCCTTCTCTTGTGAAACCGGGGCAGTTTCACCCAAAACCTAGTCTGTTCAGATCTATCGGTATCCCCGGAGCCACAGCTGATGCGTTACAGCAGAGGACGTGGTTTGGGGTGAAGCCCTGCTTGTGAGTAAAACGTACTGGGTGCTTAGGAGAATAAATCTCCTTTCCAGGCATGGGGAAATGCTTTTTGTGCCGCTACCTGCTCGTGCGGGAGGCTCAGAGACCTCGGGGACTGCTTTCAAGCACTGACACTGTTCAGCCTGCGGAAGCAGCTCCGCCGAACTCACCTCGACACGTCGTTCACAAAGGATCAGCGTTTCTCTCCCTTGGGGGATCCCTACTTGTCCTGCAAGCCCAAAGCAACGGCGATGGGCCCGTGTCAACAGCCACAGGGAGACGAGAGGCCGCGAGTGACCAGGGGGCCTGCACCTGACTGCCGGGACATCCAAAAGAGTTTATTCACATGTCCCTTGTGAGATGTGGTGGATGTTCCCTGCTGTGACAGAAAGCTGTGCGACCTCAGCCTTTGCTTTTGCAGTGGGAGGTGGCACCTCTTGGCAGGAGCTGAGTGCCTCCAGGTCTCATAGAGCATAGCGGGGTGGCCGGGAGAGAGTGTTTCAGGTTGGCAGGGGACTATGCAGCAGCCAGAAGTGTCCTTATGTATCTGCAGAACAGTGTTGTGTTTTTTTCTCTCTAAGGGCAGGAGTATTCCACCTTCTCAGGGAATCTTTGCTCAGGCATGGCAACTGCACAGGCTTGAGCCGTCTTTACTAATTGAGAGAGGAAAACGAGCAGAAGGGTGGCTTTGCCAACACAGCAAAGCTCCTTTCATACACAAATGGCTCCAATAGCTCAGAGCTGGTGGTTTAGGGCACCTTCTGCTGCCAGAGCCAGGGCGGTTGCTGTGCCGCACGCTCCCTGTCCCCAGCCCGGCTGGCTGCTGCCATCATGTGCCCAGCTCATTCACTTGCACTCGTGTAAATTCCCTCTCTTTTCTTCCTCGGTTTTGTCTCTCTGCTCCTGCAGAGCTTTCTCCTTTCTCTGTGCAGCATCCTCCGGCAAGGCAGAGAGCGCCAGGATGGTGCCAGCACCGCCCCAGAAAAAAAGGTCTCCCTGCAGGCCGGGAGCAGCGTGGTGTGTTTGTTTGGATTTCTTCTGGTCGAAGAGCCTGACCTTGTGTCAATGCCAAAGAATAATTTGGAAAGCTCTGCTGCAGGTAAGAGACCCCACAAGGAGGGCTGAGGGATTGTAAGAATATAGCAGGCTTGAGGGCACAGGAGCCCCCAGCACCCCGCATTTGCCCCGCGGGCACCTCACTGGCAGGCGGCCGCAGCCCTGGCCAGGCCCTCTGCGTGGGAACAAACACCTCTGACAGCAAAACACTCACATTTTTGCCAGCGTGAAAGCGGTCAGATGGTCAGTGTTCCGTCACACAAGGAAGCGGGAGCTGGGACAGCCACAGCATCAGGGATGGGACTAACTGGAAAGCACGCTCTGGGGTGCTTGAAAGCCACACGACAGTCTGGCAAAGGGCATTTGTCCCTGAATAATTCACGTGAGCGTGTACAGAATTGAACCATTTTATTTAATTAGCATTCTTTGGTTACTCTTGCCAAAAGATACAGAATTTTAGCATCGAATACTGCTACAATACTACAACAGCCTGCCAATGACAAGTTTACGTATTCAGAGCATAACATTATCCTGTCACAGCTGAAAGGACTCTTTTCTTTACCCATTCCCCCCCCCATATTTTCTTGGAAAGAGAAAACAGCATTCTTCTCTGCTTGCTTTTCCCCTCGGACAACGCCAATGCCCGCCACCTCCACCACCGCTATTTCCAGGTTTCAGGAGCGTGAGGTGTTGGCGTTGTCTGAGGGGAACAGCAAGCAAAGAATGTTGTTCCAGAGGCCGCGTTAGCTCCTGGCGGTGTGGGGGACGCGTCCTCTGGGGCTGCGGGGAATCCATCACCTCAGCGGTGGGGTCAGCAGCGCTGCCCTTCTCCCGCCCTGCAGCGACGTTCCGCGTTACCGAAACACCCCCTGAACCTTTCGGCCGGGGGGACGCTGAGCAGAATAAGGCTGGAGGCGCGTTAAGGCAGCTCAGCCCCCG